AAACAACAATAAAAGTGCAGAAAAGTTAAATCAATTCAAAAGGAAATGTGTTGTTTAATGGTTTGTGTCTTTTATCTTGTTGTACTTAGTTAATTGATGGAGTAGTACTTCTTATTTGTAGTTCATTTTCTTGAATTTTTAGCCATATATTCTGTCTTTTCCCCACCTTTACCTAAGCCCTGTTAAAACTAATAAAAGACCCTTTAATTTATGCATTTGAATTTTTAGCCATATATTTAGACAAATTCAATTGATGGATGTTACAACTGTATTTAACTTGTTCCAATTGGTGATGTTCAATTGATTGGTGTCTTGACTTGGATGATTATTGTGGTCTCTACCTTTCTTCCTCGAATGTGAGACTTGACAAAGAAAAGTAAATAGAATTATTGGCTGATTTGATTATATCATACTTGAGGACAAGCATGAGATAAGTGAGGGAGAATTTGATGAGTGTTCTAAATAGATAATATTTGCTTGTCTATTCTTCGATCTTATGGATTTATTGTTGCTGATTTGATTGTATTATGCTTATTTTCGTTAAGGATCTTATTTTTCAGAATTAGCAAAAAAAGGGCGCATTTTGGCTTTTTTTATTATTTGGTCACGACTAGAGACATGGGCACGACTCTGGGCATGACAAGGTCTGACTTGGCAGTTTCTAGAAGATCTAGTAGACAATAAATTTCTAGAAGATCTAGTCAGCACCTTCTGGAAGGTGGACAGACAGATATATCTTAAGAGATTTATTTTTAATTTTAAAGTTTGAATTTGAAAAAAACATTTGAAATTTTCTTTAGTATTATTTTTCTTTTAATTTCTATGTTTATATCTAGGATTTTAGAGGCTATAAATACCCTTTTGATGTAAACCTAAAGATACTTTCACTCTTCTTCTTATTTCTAGTTTTATAAAGTTCTTTCTTTTCTTTTCAAGCTTTCATTTTTTTTTTTTTAAGTTTTTTTCACATGCAAAGTATGACTTTTTTCATGCTTAGCTAATTTTCTTATAAGCTGAAAGGATAAGTGATGACTCAATTCAATATGTGAGAATTGAAAAGCTCTTAACATCTTCAGGATGTCACTCTCAGTTTTATGAAAGACTTAGATAGGTAATCGACCTATCCTTTTAAAATCAAAACACTTTCTTTCCAAAAAGTCGACGGATGTTGTTATGATTTAAAGTTGGGAGGAAAGATCGGCGAATAGCAAATCCGACTTCCTGTTAACACACTTAGTGGCAGTCCGTTAAGGGAAACTGAGATGGGGTTCGATTCTCAGAGAAACAACATAATCCGAGTCGGGTTTTTCCTAAACTAAAACTGTTTTTTGCACTAACGATGATTGTCGTGGTTGGTTCAATTAAAAGATGGATTTCTAAAGATTGGCTTTGGGAAATTCGGTTACCAAAGTGAAAAGCAAGTTACATGGATAATGCCTTTTAGAGTGTAACTTGCGTCAATCCCGAAGTGAAAATCCAATTTCGATGATCAGAAACGAATTGAGTCAAAGCGAGGCCTGAGACTGCTTTTTACTATAATTATTTTTTAAATCTTTGTTTACTTTCTTAATTTCCGTTTTAAATTATTTTTCCTTATTCAATCTTTTTCATCAAAACCCCCTTTTATTTACTACTTATCGTATGGTTTAAGCAATTCAAACAGAAATTTGGGAATTTTCTAAGTCCCTGATGATCGACCCTTAATTCTCTATACTACATGTTTCTTATATTCTATTGGGAAGAAGAAATTTATTTTGACATCAAAACGACGGTTGTCATTGTGTGTGTTAAATCCCATGCTGATAGCTTTCAAGTCCTCGCCTCTCGGCCACCCTAAGCCTCTTTTATTTTTACACATTTATAGTTATAAGGGTCTCAACTATATTAAGAATTGATTCAAAGTAGACTATATACACTGGCATTATGAGTATTTCCCAAGTAAATGAGTAGCTATATACGAATTTTCTTCTACTTATTTGTCTGCGCGGATACCAGAAATTACTTGTAATAATTTACCTCCACGAGAACGTGCAAAAGCATGTCATGTTCCTATGTTGATTGGAGGATGCAAAATACCGAAAGCTTCAACAACGTTGGTAATTCAGATAAATGCTAAGAACTACGTGGGCAGAATGTATGTGCATGTAAAAGCTACATTTGAGTTGACAGCATGCGAAATCAAGGTTCTCTAAGCATCAAAAGTCACAATAGATGACCATCAAATCAAAGGAACATTTCACGTAAACTGAAAGCAAAATTATTTGAGATTTCAGTTGTGGGGAGCTCCATAGATTCTAGCATTGGCACGTAAGTTGAAAATGAATAAGAAGGAAGAAATTCAAGGAAGCTCTCAACTGTTTTATCAGGAAAAAAAAAACAATCCCAGATTGGCGCTAGAAACACTGGTAGCCAAGTTTTAGAAAATGTCTCTTTCTATTTTTGATGAATCCCTCTACCACATATATCATTGTGACGTGATCTGCTTCTCTAAGCAGACCAAGCTGAGGTAAACTTGTTTGCTCGGCTTGTTTTTGGTGAAGGTCCTCTGGATTGAACCTTAAAACTATTTTCATTAATTACAAGACGATGGGTGTTCACAGAAATAATAGTTTTAGCTTACTAGGGTTTTTATTGTCCTTTGTTGCAATAATTCCAAGTCTGCAAGCTCGCATGGCAGAATATGACGATTACCGGAGGGAACGCGAGTTGAAAGCTAAAGAAAATCAGGAAAAGGCCTATAACCCCCGCCCAAAGGAAGTCACCAACCATTACAACGAGCATGCTGTCAGGTAAGGCTGATGTTTAATTAGTGTGTCTTTGTGTTTCGAAGTGTTAAACCCTGGCTTGTACTTCATGAAGGACCTTGATGGGGTTTAATAATAGCACAAGACAGGGTTTGAAGGGAAAGAAGAAGAGGGGCTCCTGTCGAGCAACCAACCCCTTCGACCAATGCTGGCGCTGCGATCCATACTGGGAAATAAATAGGAAGAGGTTGGCTGATTGTGCCCTTGGATTTGGCCGTGGTACTACAGGTAGAAAGGACGGAGAGTTTTACGTGGTCACTGATTCTTCAGATAATGTTCTTGATCCTACACCTGGAACTCTTCGTCATGCTGTGATCCAAAACAGGCCTCTTTGGATCATCTTCGCACGTCCCATGATCATCAAGCTGGAACAGGAGCTCGTTATTCAACTTATGACAAAACCATCGACGGTAGGGGAGCCAGGGTACATATTGCTTATGCTTCTGGTATTAGTGTCCATTTTGCAAGGAACATCATCATCCATAACCTACGTATCCATGACATTGTATCCGGCTACGGTGGCATGATCAGGGATGCTGAATCCCACTTTGGAGTAAGGAAAGCGAGCGATGGTGTCTCTATTTTCGGGGCAACCAACGTTTGGATTTACCACCTTTCGATGTATTGATGTTTCGATGGTCTCATTGATGTTATTCATCCACTGCCGTTACAATTTCCAACAGCCATTTTACTGACCACAATGATGTGATTACAACTTCATCTACTTGTTGTTTGGTAAAAGACTTGGAATACGAATTAATAGATCTTTTGGTGCATGTAGGTGATGTTGCTAGGAGGAAGTGACAAATATGTGGAAGATGAGAAGATGCAGGTCACTATTGCTTTGAACCACTTCGGTAAAGCATTGGTACAGAGGATGCCTAGATGCCGATTTGGTTTTGCCCATGGTATTAACAATCACTACACTCATTGGATGTCGGCCATAAGCGGCACCAGTCACCCTACCATTATCAGCCAGGGCAACCGATATAGAGCTTCATCGGAAGAGATAACAAAAGAGGTGACCTGGAGGAATTACGTACCACCGGAAGTGTGGAAGAGCTGAGATTGGGTATCAGAGTGTGATAAATTTGTGAATGGTGCCTTTTTCACCCCGTCTGGAAATACAAATGCCAGCAAGAAATTCGGAGCCGATAAGATGCTGCCTTATCAGCCTGGTCGTAAGGTGCCCAAACTCACTGCTTCTTCTGGTGCACTTAATTGCAAAAAAGGGAAGCCGTGCTAAACACTTTCACTTGTGTTTCTCTTTCTGCGAAAAACGTGAATGATTAATAGAAAATGCAATCCGTCTTCTTTCTTGTACTCTATCCTTCCAAGGAGATATAAATAGGATAACAAATAGAGCATTTCCTTATTGTAACGTTCCTATGTAAACTATAAGAATCACATTTATTCATTCACACAAGTGAAATGTTTCTTTGATTTGCTTGTCATCTTTTGTCACTTTTGATGCTTAGAGAACCTTGATTTCATATTCTGTCAACTCTAATGTACCTTTTCATGCACATACATTCTACTCTACGTAGTTCTTAGCATTTATCTGAATTACCAACGTTGTTGAAGTTTTTAGTATTTTGCATCCTCCAATCAACATAAGAACATGACATGCTTTGAAATTTGCATTTTCTCGTGGAGGTAAATTATTACAGGTAATTTCTGGTATCTGCGCAGACAAGTAGAAGAAAATTCGTATATAGTCACTCATTTACTTGGGAAATACTCATAATGCCAGCGTATATAGTTTATTCTGAATCAATTCTCAAGACTCGTATAACTACTATAAATTTGTAAAAATAAAACAAGTTTGGGGTGGCCAAGAGGCGAGGACTTGAAAGATGTTATCACGGGATTTAGGGCACCCAAACCAGACCTGCAACCCCCCTGCGTGTTCTGTGTTATAAGTTGAAGAGTAAATTAGTCTACCCTTAGACCCCAAGTTAATGATAATTACAGGATAACTAACTACTTTATTCTTTTATAGGTGGGGGTAGATGAAGTTGGCTTGCCCAGTCTAAATTCTGATGCTAGATTTGATTGTTCTCAGTGTGTGTGGCTTGAAGAAGACCATCTTTGATTTGAGAAGCAATGTCTGCTTACAGCACTTGGCCCGTGTGGGATGAAAACAGAGTTGAATTTTGATGATGTTCCAATCTCCTTCATTGTGTCACAAGAATCATGTCCATGACAGCCTCAGATGTTGTCCAGGTACATTTACAGAGAAATCCAACACTGTCCCTGAGTCTTTGTACAATAGCCTGCCGCTCTCTAGCTACACCAAGCCCAGCCAGATACATGGATTCTGCATCCCCTTCTGTTCAATCTTGTTTGATTGGTGTTGATTACAAGCATTTCTGTGATGAGTTTCATATGTACTGCTTCCATCGATAAATTGTTTGATTTTAGCACAAGAAAACAAGGTAAAGTCTCCACAAATACCTGCATTTATCTCGTTCATAGCGCTCTTTACATGCTCACCTGGTTCAGTATCCACAATAAGGGTCTGAACTATCTCAAACCCATTGTGTGACATGGCCTAAAGATCCGAAATAACACTAATAATTTAGTCTGCACAAATTGGGTTGGTCCTAAAACAACAAAGTAGATATGGCTGTACTTTTTCAAGCTAGGCCTTTTCCACAGCTTTCTTCTGCTCGAACCAAGAGTTTTAGGTGGTGGAAGTGGTGTTACTGGCCCCTTACCAAGAGTTTTTATTTCAGAGCTTCATGTGGATCAACTAAGCCCCAAAGCACAGGTATGTCTATTTCACTGTGCCTTGTTTAAAAAAGCTGAAATGTTGCCAAACTTGAAATGCTAAATGATCTGCATTCGACATACCAAAGCATTGATGTTAATGGCTCCTTACCGGGAGTATTTTTTTCAGAGCTTTGGTTGGTTGCTGAAGTTTATGTAACTCTTTTTCTTTCACTAAACTATTCAAAAGATGCAGATTATGGTGGTGGACTAAAGGGATAATATGTTCAGGGGATTTTTTTTTTTGACTAGAAATGCGTTTTTAAAGTGTGTTATAGTTGATTTTCAAGTTTGAGACCTAATGAGAGAGAGAGAGAGCCCTAATATCTAATAGTTGTGCCTTTCCCTCTCTCTCATGTAGAAAAATCTCCAAGTCTTTTGTCGATAAATCTGGCTAAAGATGCTATTATGAGGTGTTCTTAAAACGTGCACTTGATGCCACCTCTCTTTGTACTGCTAGGTTCTTATTTTGTATATTTTTTCATTGCCGACTCGGGAAATAATCAGAAAGTACACTGAAAAATACGGTTGTGGAAATAAATATGCTGCTCTTGCAAGTGCTCTGGTATCTTTAACATGGGAGAAGCCCTTGTATTCTGAATTTCAACAATTGGAAGGGTACTTTCTGATTGCATTTATTTCACTGAGCAAAGAATTTTGAAAAATTCACTACTTAAATCTCTTTTATGTGCAGGGAAAGTGAATACGCTGCATGGACCTTTGTCAATGGGTATGCACTCAATCATGTCACCATCTCCACGCATCGGCTGAAATCTAACTTGAAGAATATCAAAAGCCTCAATCAGTTCATTGAAAAGAATGGGTTCAAGTTGAATTATGAAGGCGGAGTTCTAAAAGGTTTGCTACTTTCTCAAACATATATTACTATGTTATTATGAACTACTTTTAGAATAGCATTTTGAAGGCACAAACTACTGTAACTTGTTGAGAGTGAGATTCTACTCATGATGGTTTTACGAGGCATGCTGGTCCTAGCAACTAGCTAGTTGCTAGTGACAGTTTCATTGTTGATAATTACATACTACCAGATTTCCTTATTACCGTCCAATGTGATAGAAATGGACTAGGGAAGGTGTGAAGTCGAATATTGATAAAACTCATAAAGCACCGTTCAAAGTATGAAATGTTAGCATTTTATGTCTAGTTTCAATTTTAGAGAAAAGCGTTTTGGCATTATGGCACTGGGAAGAAAGCTTAATGGATTGGTTTGCTTAAATGCAATATGCCGTTATCAGGGTGTTTTCTATTATCATGCCATTATCGGGGTGTTTTCTATTATCATGCCTGTAAAATTTCCATATCTTGGATTTATTCTTCCTTTAAGTGGCTGAGGTTAGTTGGGTTTCTTTTTTCTTATTGCAATAGCTATTAATCTTATTAGCAGCTTATAAGTGGGTTTATTCCTTCCTTCTTCCCTTTTTGCTGTTCTGATAATAACTTTATGGGGCATACTCATTTCTCTGTTAAGTTACACGCCATTGCTGTTATGATTGTATGATATATTGGTTTGCAAATGGAGTTAAGAATTGAATGTTTCCTCGGTTTCAGGCAGTCCGGATGGCCTTCTACTGCAAAGCTCAACCGTGGCAGATTCAATACCTTTCAGTTTCTCTGACGGTATTAATGAGTCCGTTCCCTGCTCATACATTGAGTTTGCTGAACGCCTTGTGTTGCCTCAATACAAAAATCAGCCCGAGAGTGAGGTATTTATATGTTTTCAGTTGTTTGTTAAGAAATTAATTTCTCTAAGGGACACAAAGTGCAGGCGACTGTACAAAAACAACGTAGAGTTGTGTTGTGGACATTAGCTCGCTATTTTTGGCCTTGAATGGTTTTAGTGGTCATAACCCTTTGTATGTTACAATAAACATAGCACGGGTACCGATTTCTTGTATTATGAACTGGATTACACAGATAAAAGAGTCCCACAGGCGAGATGGATTTGAGGTCGGGAATGCTGACAAGATATTTGAGAGCATATCCAAGGAGCAGCTGACAAGGAGAGCTTGAGCGTGGCAATTCAGGGGAAAGTGTAGCGGAAGGTTAATAAGTCAGACGGTCAAATTTCGTAATGTAAATCAACTAACGTTACTGTTGTTGAATGTAGAAAACAATAAATGAGGGGTTAAATATGAGTTGTAATTGGCTTGACCCACTCGCAGTTATCAAGAGCCTAGGCAGTACCAAATATATGGAAGACTTGATCTAAATATTCCATTGTAGTAACAGGCAACTCTACTCTTTCAACCAAGTAGATACTACAATGAAACAAACACTTGTTTACACCAATGCAAGGAGAAAACGGAAATCCTTCAATATTTGCCAAATAGATTAAAGCAACAGATGATTTAACATTGCATTTTGCTCCACAAGCTTTACTTGCCCCGAATGTCCTGCTGGGAGGCTAACATCCAAAACATGATATTAAAGCAAACATGCTACTCTGTTGTTTTCTCCATTGTCTAGGAAGAAATGCTTCGACAGAATACATCAATACTGAGGAAAAAAGAAACAAATTGATGAAAAGAGGTTGGGGAAAGATAATTTAACTAGTCAACACTATGATTTACCATTGGGTTTTGGGGATTGGTAGGGATACTGATGGTGATAGGGAGAGGCATGGGAACCATTTGGAATGGAAAGGCTTCTGTGCCCATTCCTTGAAAGTGATCCGGCTGGATTTCGTATACCATTTCTAGTAACGACTCGTTCCACTTGCATTGTCTGGAAATAATATGATGAGCTTGCCATGTCCTTGAGATTTGGTAGAGGCTTCAATGCTTCCACCACTTCACTCATTAGGGGTCTAGCTTTTAGATCACGGCTTAGACAGTGGGCAGCCAGCTGTGCAGCTTTCTGAGAACCTTTAATCGAGAAGTGGCCTTCAAGCCTAGGATCGATCAATCTATAGAATCTTCTTCTCTCACCTAGATGAGGTCGAGCCCATTCCACGAGATTATGCTCTCCATTAGGTCGGTTTTTGTCCATGGATCTTCTGCCAGTTAACATTTCAAGTAAAACCACACCAAAACTGTAGACGTCACTTCTTGAGGTAAGATGTCCTGAGAGAGAATTAATGTTCACTTGAATCAGACCCAAAGAGGAGAACCAAAATAAAGTGTTCCTTTCACCTCCGAATTAGGAGAGCAAGCTAGGATAAAATCTATGAACGAGAAATTTTGGAGTTCATTCACAAGAGTGATTGCAAAACCCACAATAAATAGTGAAAAAGTTTCCGGCACGACAGGTAATCCTGCGGTTTTTCATCTGAAAAACATCTTAAATAATAAACTGACATCATAAACCCAAGCTGCCTTCACTCCTGTTAAATGAATACTGGTTCAATGGGATGGAAATGTCAACAGGCCGTGATTCCATCTAAAGAGCTTGCAAAATAGTTTGGTGTTCATCAGCCAAAATGCAACATTGTAAGAAGTTTGTGTCTGACACGTGAAACCTCTAAATTTTTTACACTATTGCATTCGAAGATGCCACCTAAAATACTATGTGAGATATAAAGAACTCAATAACAATTAGAGATTAAAGAATCATGCCAAAGGAGGACGCAGAGCTAAACTACTGGCTCTAGAAGTGTGTCATGTCCTCATAGAAAAGCATTAAAACATGCTTCAAAGATTGGAACATTAATTTTTCATAACTAAAAGAAAGGGTAAATTTAAATATATCTGCCCCAAAGAAATATTTTATCATGGAATATACTTCCAATTTCCATTTTTAGACATATTTTGCCTTTAAAATCCTACTCATGAAGCAGACAAATAAAGTGGCAAACTTAAACAAGCATCTCCTTTCTTTTAAAGCTTACCAGTCATTACATATTCAGGGGCTGCATAGCCATATGTTCCCATCACACGGGTTGATACATGGGTTTTGTCTCCCTCAGGACCATCTTTAGCAAGCCCAAAATCAGAGAGCTTTGCATTATAGTGCTGCAATGCATATTATTTGGTGTAAATCATTGCATAAAAGGAATTATTGTTCTATTTTTTTCATTAATGGTAACTTTATTGAGGTAAAGTTTTTGGGACACATACTGCATCTAGTAGGATATTAGAGGTTTTGAAATCCCGATATATCACAGGTCTTTCTGCCTCTTCATGGAGAAATGCAAGACCTTTTGCAGCACCAAGTGCAATTTTCATCCTTATGGACCACGGAAGAGGCAAGGATCCTATATAAGCAACTATCTGAGTTACAATGTCAAATTGAAACATAAAACCCCCATCACAGCACATAGCTATAAGAAACATGTAGAATATCAAGAAAGAAGTAATTCAAGTCCAATATAAAAGGTCAGCATTTTCTAAAGTAGGCAGTTTTTTTTTTTTTGATAAGGAATTCAGGCCTCGTTAAAAACCCCCTTCATGATTAATGGAGCTTGTAGTGAAGTTCCTTAATCAGCGGAAGGAGGAAAAGAGCGCCTTAGGATTTTATTCAACAAAAGAAGTTACATAAGATACATCTAGAAAACCTCAAACAGAACCTTAGGAACAGAAAATAAACCTAAACAACCAGAAACAATAACAAGAATTCAGCCTATTCCTTCTTTAGCTAAGGCATCAACCTCTAGATTGGCTGTCCTATTAACCCATCTAATAACACCTTCAAATACATTAAGTCTATGAACAATGTCTTTAATAATATAAGCATAAACCTCAGGACATGATTCAACCTCCCGAACCCAATCCACTGCCACCTTGCTGTCACTTTCAATAATCAAACGCTCCTTGATCCGCTCTCGAAAGAAGTGTAGAAAAACAACCCCTTTTAATAGCTTTTAGCTCCATAAATGTCAGAGGCCCCAGACCAGCAGAATCCTTGAAAGAGCCTAAAATAAATCCTGAAGAATCCTTCAAAACTCCTCCTAACCCACTTTTCTTCCAATCTCTTGTAGTAGCAGCATCAACATTAAGTTTAACAAACCTCAATGGAGGAGGAGACCAAGGAAAAATAGAAACAATCTGATTTGAATGGAAAGAACAAGAGTCCCCTATAGAAGGATCTGAAATAAGAGAGTCCCTATGAATAGAAACCTCATTATTCTTAGCAAGGAACCAAGACGCAAGCCTACATCTTGCTAAAAAAAAGAATTCTGCCATATTGAGCTTCCCCCCTTCAAACACAATTAAATTCCTGATTTTCCAAGTAGTCCAAATAACGGCCCCTAGAATAAAAGACCATATTAGAGAATTAAACTTCAAAGCATCCCAAGCTAGAAGAAAACTTTTAGCATTGCCATGAAAGGCAGTCTTAATCTTCCAAAAATTCAAAAATCTGTTCCAAATAGCCCACACCACCGAACAAGAGAAAAACAAATGCGAGGGAGTCTCATCCTCCATCTTGCAAAGAGGACATAACACATTTTCGATTCCTTGAATACCTCTTTTAATAAGTTGTGTCTTAACAGCCAGTTTCCCTAGAATAACCTGCCACATAAAGGACTCCACCCTAGGAGGTAACTGACTCCTCCAAATGATCTTCTTCCAAAAAAAGACCTCCTCCGATCCCAAAGATTCTGATGAACAAAGATTAACACCTGATTTAACCGTGTACACTCCATCCCCATTACATTTCCAAATCATCCCATCAGAAGTTTCCCTAGAAAGGGAGAAGGTCGAAATAACAGTCATCAAATTCAACCACTGCTCTAATTCCCAGTCATTTAAGTTCCTTCGAAACTGCACATCCCAAATCCAACCTGTTGAACTATAATCCCCAAATTCAGATAACTTACCCATCTTGTTTGTTGACATAGCAAACAGTCTAGGAAAAATGATCAAAAGGAGATAATCCATTGCCCAAATGTCATGCCACCAGAATCGAATAAAAATGCCATCACCAACAAGGAAAGTATACACGCTTCTAAACTTTGAGCCTACATTGTCATCTTTGAAATGATTCAATACCACCGATCTCCAAATCCAAGAAACTTTCTGTGGTATCTTATTGTCAAACATTAACAAAGAAGAATCCAGCTTATATTTAGAACAAATAAATTCCCTCCAAACAGCCTCCCTTTCATTGGCAAACCTCTATGACCATTTCTCTAAAAGTGCTCTATTCATCAAATTAAGATTTAAAACACCTAGGCCCCTCTCAAACTTTGATTTGCACACATTATGCCAATTAACCCAATGAATCTTACTTTTTTCATTACCCCTCCCCATAAGAAATTTGACAGTATAGAGTTGAGGTTTTTGAGAACCGAAGAAGAAAGCTTAAACAATGATAGATAATATGTTGGAAGCGAACAGAGAACCGACCTAATCAAAACCAATCTGCCTGCTAATGAAAGAGAAGAAGCTTTCCACCCAGATAATTTGTTGTTGAAATTATTAACCACTGGATTCCAAAGGGCTGCAGAATTCCTAATAGCCCCCAAAGAAAGCCCTAAATAATCAGAAGGAAATCTGCCTACTGAACATCCGATTGTGTTTGCCCAAACCTGAACTTCTTCATTCACATTAACACCAAACAATTTGCTTTTCTTCAAGTTAAGCTGTAAACCCGAAATCACTTGAAACACTCTAAGCACCTTTTTCACATTAAGAATCTGTTTTTTCGAAGCCCCACAAAAGATAATGAGATCATCCGCAAATTGTAGATGAGATAAAGTAAAAGTCCCCTCTGCCCTACCCATAACCAAACCAGAAAACAACCCCTTTGAAACAGCCTTTCGAATCAATAAGTTGAGAAGTTCACCTATACAATTAAACAACAAAGGGGATAAGAAACATCCCTGTCTTAATCCCTTGGCCATTGGGAATTCTTCCGAAGGCACTCCATTAACTAAAACAGAAACAGAAGCTGTGGTAACACATTTTTTTATCCAACCTCTTCATTTTGAACCAAATCCCATTTTCTCCATAACTAGCAATAAAGTATCCCAATCAACCGAATCATATGCTTTCCTGAAATCAGCCTTGAAAATACATCCCTTAAGTCCATTTTTCCTCCAAAAATCAACACCTTCATTAGCAATTAGAGAACAATCCAAAATTTGTCGGCCTGGAATAAAAGCAAACTGTGAAGGACTAATAATATCAGAAATACAACTCTGTAACCTCCTCGAGAGACACTTAGAAATGATCTTATAGAATCCACCAACTAACCTAATAGGCCTATAAT